TGGAGATGATTGACCGTTGTCCTGTACTCGGGCCATCATACCATCATGCAGCTGACGGATGATGTTTGTGAACTTGTCTGGGCATCCGTATTTCTTCATGATTTTCCACAAGCCAGCTCTATTGACCCTGTCAAAGGCCTTATTCAAGTCGATAAATGTAGTATATAGGTCTGTATTTTGTTCCTGGCATTTCTCTTGAAGCTGTCTAGCTAATATCAGTGATGTGGGCGTTAATTTTTTTCTTTTTATTTAGGGCGTCATTTTCGGCTGACTGTAGAGTGGATGCTTCTTTCGCGGAATGGGTTGGCATACTAACTCTAGCTATGCCTATGATTATTAGGCATAGGCCCTATTAGTCACATGTATCTTCTTCTTCTACATTTTGAGGCCCCACGGTCAATGTATTGATCATTCTGGCTCCTATGTTTCAGAAGGGTTCGCGATGTTACTGTGCATGGTTTTGAAGGGGATACTTCACTGGTTGCAAGGGTTACACTCAGCGATGATATTAGGAACTGGGGGCTGGAAGACAGGAGGCAATAGACGCAAATGTGCCAAGTGTAGTCGCCTTATCTGTTGCTTTTGGAAGCTTGTTCCAGTCCCTGATTGTCTTGGCAGGAATGAGGAGTTCCTGTACTGAGTTATTATTTTTATGAGCCGAACTACCTGTCATGGCCCAGTCGCTGTCGGGGGTTGGGGGGACACTTCTGTTGAATGCTTGAACAGCGGACCAGCCCATTATTTATCTTGCACATCATGGAGAGCCTGGATAGTCGTCGTCGTTCCTCCAATGGTGACCAGTCCAGCTTTTCCAGCATGCTGCCAACAGATGAGATGTTTCTTTGGCGGTTCAGGACAAAGCGTGCTCGAACCTGTCGATGCTCTTCTGGGTGAATGGGTCCCAGAAAATGCGTACTCTAAAAGCGGCCGGACTTAAGGCTTTACAGGCTTTTTCTTTGACGCTGGAGTTGCCGTTCTTCAGATGTCGCCTTAGGAAACCTAAGGGGGTGTTCATTTATTACGTCAACAAAATAGTGTGGGGGGGGGGGTTTGGGGGGTTGGAAATGTTTGACAGTTGTTTAAAAAGGGGGAGGGGGGAGGTTTAGATTAGTTGACGTCAACAAGCATGTTCTCTCTATTAACATTTTAATCTTAAAAATTGACTGGTTATTTTTTTTAAAAATGTATAAGTGTAAATGAGTTTAAATAGTCACATAATTGTTAGGATTTTAACAATAAGATTTATTTTATGTGTGTATGTGCACGGCAGTGGCTGGTCAGAATGTTTGCACACTTTGTTAGTGCAAGAGAAATCAAAAGTTGGCCTCTCTTCACCTGAAGATTCTGTGGCATGTATGGAGCAAAGTCAAGGTTCAAGTTTCATGTGCAGTCAAGATAAATGATATTGAAAGATTAAGAATACAATATTTTGAGAATTAGGTAATTTAAGAGAGTAACAATAATAAAATCGCTTCTTGAACGGATTTGCAAAATCTGTAACATCTATTTTGCATCACAAGTCATGTTGAAAAAGCATGTTCAACAAAACCGACAATGCCCTCTTGAGCATAAGAAATGAGCACCTGCTCCTCAACAAAAAAAGGATTCGACCAATGCGAGTAGCTGCAAGTAGATAGAGAGAGCGTATTGCAATTATTGCTCACACCGACAATGCTTCTATTTTAAGTGCTGAATGGTTGGATAAGAATGATGTTGACTTGTCTGGTATATCAGTTCCGCAAGATGAAAATGATAAATCAGCAACTATAGACTATGCCCATCAGGGGCGTCATTTCAGGTTTTTTTTCAGTGGGGGGAAAGGGGGGGGGGGCGCAAAACCAAAAGTTGGTCGGCTTGTTAAGTTGTTTATTATTGGAGGCGCCACAGTACATCGCAATTTAAATAAAACCAGCAAAATCAGGGGGGGGGTGCAAATGCCCCTTGCCCTACCCAAATGATGTCCCTGATGCCCATAGTTACGATGCAGCAACACCTGGCTACTTCATGGGAAGATAATAGCAGCTAGAAACTATACTAAAAATGTCAACTATGCAGACAATAATCATATTTATACTTCCACAAACAATGATATTTAGTCCTTAACAACCTTTTAATGGATTCTGAATTATACAATTTAAGTGTAAAAACTTTTTAACTTGTTGCTTAACAAGCTAAACATAATGTAATAAAATGTTTTCCCTACAATTTTATGTGTCATTTAAATAGATCAGCACAAAGTAAAATGTATTTATAAATTTATTTATAATATAATTCTTTTTTTTTTTTTTTTTTTTTTTTTTTTATAATAAAATGTTGACATACTTAAATAGGGGGGGGGGGTCATCGAAAGTACAGTTGGCGATCAGACACAAGATGTAAACTCTGCTGAGGGTTCATGTTCATGTTCATGTCAGTTTAGTGTGTTCCTATAAACATGGAAAGTAAAAGTGGCGCCAGGGGCAACGCCTTCACAAAATAGTTTAAAATGGACTATAGATAGACATGTTTGGCAACAAAAATGACGAGTTTACGCACTCTGAGGATAGCGTACCGAGTGGGTGTCCCCCTATGGCAAGGCCATGGTCCTTAATACAGTCGATCCACCGTCAGAGAGGTTTTCCTTCTGACCCTGGAAAAGAAGTGCCTACTGTTGGAGGCCTGCAATGCATTTTGGTTAGAGCCCATCCATATATTATTATTACATGCGTAGCAAATAAATTTCGCCCCCCCCTCTCCCGTTGCATGCGTATATTTTTGGTCGACCCCGCTCTTCGTACGGTGCATACAAATTAGCCCTGACCCTGCTCTTCGTACGGTGCATGCCTACAAATTAGTCCTAACCCTAACCCGACCCCGCTCTTCATACGGTGCATACAAATAAGCCCTAACCCTAACGCGACCCCGCTCTTCGTATGGTGCATACAAATTAACCTTAACCCGACCCCGCTCTTCGTACGGTGCATACAAATTAGCCCTAACCCTAACCCGATCCCGCTCTTCGTACGGTGCATACCTACAAATTAGCACTAACCCTAGCCAATGTTCCTTTAAGCTGTATGTTCGTTCAACATCAATTGGTTAGTAATTGAAGTTAAAGATATGAATGCAGTAGTTCAGAATTAATAGTTTCTCCACATTATTTACCTGTGTATGACAACATTTATAAGCGTGATAAAGATAAAAATCAAAACGAATTTCACAAATGAATGAATCGAATAAAACTAGGGTTCCTCAATTTTATTTATAAAAGAACAACAACAAAAACAAAAAAAAATAATGATATAAATGTCACCATTACCTCATTTTTGTTGACAAGAATTTTTAATGTTTCCTAAGCCCACGCCTAGATCTAAATGTATGTTTATTTTTTGAAATATTGGACGGGTGTAATCCTCTGCGAACACCGCTCAAGCAGTCATATATCACACCATGACAACAAGACGTCGAGCAATAATGAAATATCGGATTGCCAAAAGCAAAAGTGACAGCCTGACTTCTGGTTGACGACCGAAAGCCTAAATCGTCGAAAACCGAAACCACTCTGAAAGTGATCATATGGAAACTCTCGGGGCCGAAACCGATATTCGGTCGGCTTCAGAGGCGTAGCGATGGGGGGGGGGGCGGGGGGCAGATGTCCCCGGGCGCAAGCTAGTTAGGGGCGCCAAAATGTGATTTGATATTATATTATTGGTAAAAATAATGGATTTTAGAGTTGAGAAAAAGAATGGATCTTGTCCCCGGGCGCGAATCTTGTCCCCGGGCGCCAAACACCCTCGCTAGGCCACTGGTCGGCTTTATTATTATAAGACTTCTTCTCGGGCATTGTTCACTAGGATTTTATTATTTTTTTTACTTAAAATGAGTTTTAGCAATTGACAGATGGTAACAAATTGTCGCTATATAATCCAAGAACTGTCAATCTAGTTAACTGTGCTACTTTACTAAGCTCAGTCGCTCTAGTACACAGGTTCTCAAACGTTGTCAGATCCATATAAACAGAAGCTAAGTGCCCTTACCACGATACCTTACAGCGGCTAGCGCATTGGGTAAATTGCCCCAAATAGGGTAAAAAAAATTAAATCTTTGTGAAAAATTTCTTCTGGCAACATAGCATTTGGCCAGTGTAATTTAGAAACGCACACATGTGTGGTTCCAAGTTGATAGGTGGCGTGGCAGCTAGCATAAGCTTACATCGCACCCGTATACGTTATTTGGCATAGTCGCCCATTTTAAATTTATGCTCAGTGGCGTCACTATAGTAGGTGTCACCCAGTCTGGTAAAATCAATGGTTCCCCCATTCAGACTTCTTCACGTTACTCCTCGGAGTTGGCTTGCTCTGGTGTCACCCTGCTCTTATAGCACCCCGTTCTGGTGGTATCCTACTCTGGTGACTCTTGGCACCCTGCTCTTATAGCACCCCGTTCTGGTGGTATCCTACTCTGGTGACTCATGGCACCCTGCTCTTATAGCACCCCGTTCTGGTGGTATCCTACTCTGGTGACTCTTGGCACCCTGCTCTTATATTTTAGATGTGTTATGAAACCGATTTGATCAAGCTCCGTCAAATTTAACATTTTTCGTTTGGTGTCTCTCCCCCCCCCCCTTGTGAGGGTATCATCCTCTGTGAGGCTGTCCCGGGTGTGGCCCCTACCCCATTACCCCCCCCCGTGACGTTACTTCAAATGCTCTAAACCTCAAGAGCTTCAAGCGTTTTCACAATAGCTCCGGAGGGTTCTATTTTAAAAAAAATTGCTGACTCATGCAACAACTTACCTTTGCGAACAAGGATTGTCCACTATCACGAACATAGATACAAAGCATAGAACTAAATTACTTAACTTCAAAGGCAGGATCAAAATTTATCTGCACATGGTAGAATAGTTAGCATTCTACACATATTTTACGTATATTCGCTGGTTGTATACTGTTGTATCAATCACTTATATGCATAATGCAGTATGTGTAGCCAGAAAGATATAATGGTTGGTGTTATCCCCACGAACTCACTGGTATCTAATTCTTTTTTAATAATTCATTGGAGGTTGTATGTTCAACCTTCAAAATATCATGGTTATAAGTAAATGGGACAGCTGTAGGTTGAACCCTCACAATATCATTGTTATAAGTCAATTGTACGGCTGTAGGTTCATCCTACAATATATTATGGTTAGACTTGAGAGCCTGTACGTCACAGAGCTAAAATTCACTTTTAACGAGCCTTCTGGCAGATTTCCAGTGGTGAAATGACAAAAGTTAAAATCTCGAACTTACACCCTAAAGACCAATATGTTTCTGTACACGCCCTGTCTTGGTTATCCAAGATACACTTTAAAATTTGTAAAAATTAAATCGGTGTTTCCCGTGGGGCTAATTTGATTGGTTAGGGGGCTATTCGGAAATGAGCTGTCCAGAATTTGAAAACCAACCGTCTACTATGATTTAACTTGTATTTTAAAAGGATAATCGGTAAAATATCAATTTAAAAGTGAATTTTAACTCTCAATTATATGTTTTTAAAATGTACTTACTACGTTTCCTCACCGATTTCATAGTGATTTCTTCCTAAAACCTAACATTTGAATATTAAAATTTATGTAGGTCCCTATATGATACATGGAAGGGCAAAAGAATTTTAGAAAGGTTTAGGTGGGGCATGGCACAAAAAAAAAAAAAAAAAGGTTGGGTAACATTGGGTTAAATAGATCTTTTAAAAAGAAGGGGTTGGGACTCCTCGTGGATGAATTAAAAAAAATTCCATTATTACTATTTTAATGCCCTATAAAATGTGGACTTTCAAATACGCAGTTGTAAAGATGATAAAATACTCTTTCCATCGAGATATACTTTATAAAATAATACCAAATGGTTCCCAAAAATGAATTAGACTATTGAAATTATCCCAAAAGAACAAATAGTGGTTTCCCCAAATCCAAGCATTATGCTATTATACGCGATGAAAGTAACATCTTTCATAATCCCGCGACCGTGGTCACAGTCCACGACAGTTTCGTAAAGGTGTGGCCTGCCCATTCACATAATATTCTTAAATGATTTTTTTTATAATACAAAACGAATACCTTTCTATCTAAACCGGTTGGAAAAATTTGCTTGAAAATATTTAGTGACGTATACGAGACCAGAATTCGGGACATGTAATGACTGCAAAACTCATTCATAAAGCGTTGAGTTTTTTGTTTTTCTTCTTGCCGTTATATTCGACTTTTGTTTAACAAGCATTTTCATTCTCTTGTTCCCTGAATAAGCAAAACTCCTGAAAATGAGAAGCTGTACTCTGGTAACATGATATGTAATTAGGAGAGCATAGACATTGGCCTCGGATAATGATACGTCGGATATGATATAAAAGGACTAGGTTAAGAAATGGCTGTGGCTATTGGTTACAATTGGTAGTTTACTACCAATAGCTTCTAGGGAGCTATTTGTAGTAAACTACCAATAGATTCTAGAGAACAATTGGTACTCCAATATCAGTAGCTTCTATTTGGCTATTGGTAGTTTATTATAAAAAAAAAACTACCAATTGGTCAATTGGTGATATATTGATGTGCAATAATTATTGGTGGTCACAATTTATTTAGGAATTGTAAATGTAAGTATGGAGAAACCTGAAAGAATAAAAAAGAAAAATATATGTATAAAAACGCACTTGGAAAAAAAGTACCGTAACAATCTTATGCTGTGTTCGAGAGCTAATTGCGAAAAGCGAGTAAAAAGGAGAAAAAAAATTATGTTTCAAGAATTTGTCTCAATCACACTTATATTTCGACAATTAGTCAATCCTGGATCAAATTAACATAAAACCACTACGTTTCTGTGTTAAAATACCTAATAAATTTAACCGAGGGCCTTTAAAGATTTTGGGGCTATTTTGGTTGTTAAATATTAATAATGGCAGAAAATATTTATTTTTTCGTGCCAAATATCATTGGTAAGTTATCTTATATATCATGGGTTTTAGTTCAATCACCAGCAAAAACCTAGACATGCTAAAAACAACATTAACATCACAATCACTGTGTGACTGTGTCACTGACACTGTCATCGCCTGCACTCACAAAGTCAACTCAAAGCGACTATGAGTGGATGGCACTTTTCGCTTGTTAAAATTACTACTGCTACTTTGGATGACAACCTATCTAAGAGAAGTTAAACTCTGAATTCAGACCCAATGAAAAGTTCGGACAACTTCTTTGTGAGCACAGTCACAGTGAGACACAAACTGACAAACTACTGGTATCTACTGACAGTTGACACTGCACTTGCACTGCATCCTACCAAATTAGCGGATTAGTATTATATTTATGTTATATATATTATATATTAATATTATATATAAATCCCAAGTCTTTCCATTTGATCAAAATAGGAAAGGATGAGAGTGAGAGAGAGTGAGGCTGATGAGTTTTGCGCAACTCTCCCTCACTTTACTTAATTTAAGTATAGAAAATACAGCAAAAGTTAAGCTTACTTACCACATTTTCTGGATGCCATGTACGGACACAATGGCTGTCAATAAAAGGATGCATAGCAGCAGAGGAGTGGTGGGGAGGGCATGATTTGTTATATCATTTTGTACATCTTTTTTTTTTACAAATTTTGTGAATATTTTATAGATCCATGAATAGCTTTTAACGAATTTCCATTCTCAAGAAGCATATCATAAAATTGAGGACATGTTAGATCAGTGTTTAATAAAATGAAAAATAACAAAATCTTTCAGAGTGGTTACTTTCAGCTGTGATTTATTAGACGTCCAAACATTGTTTACTTGAGACTTGAGAGAACGCTAGCTCCACAGGTGCATTGGTTTCGTGAAGGCTGAATGAAAATTCACAGAAAATTTACAGAAAGTGCATCATTTGATTTAAAATTTTGTAATATTTGCACCCATTTTTATCGACAAGAATTTTTTGCGAGTTCCATTCTTCCAGTTTGCCAGGTGACAAAAACTGTTTCTCATCAAAGAGGTCAACAACTTTCTCTGGGAAGATTTCATTTATATAAGTGACACATCTTTCTACTTTGTACCAGGAAGGGAACAATTTAAAACTCACCCAAGAAATAATTTAAAATCTTCAAAGTGAACAGGCCAATGCTGCAGTTATGTTACACATGTACCATAGAATGCAAAAGTTACTTTTTCTATCTTTCAATTATTTCTATTGGTTCTTCCAAATGTCTCAACTTACTCTGAATAATGAGTGGATCAAATTTCTGTTTTAACCTTTCCCGACATTTTAGTAGGAGACTCTTCATTTCCTCAGCTCTTCTTCTTCTTCTTCTTATATCTTCTTCTTATATTTGAGGTGCCCACGATCAATTTGTTGATCATTCTGGCTCCTGGTTTTAAATTCAGAGTTTACCTTCTCTTAGACAGGTTGCCGTCCAAGGCTAACGAGTCCCATCCACCCGGGTTGCTTGGGATGGCTTTGGTGGGGATTGAACTCCAGACCACCAGCTATTTCGTTTTTGAGACAGTTTAGACCGCTCGGCCACCCAGCTACTTTAACAAATGTTGCAGTCTAACTTTCGATCTTTTAACAGTTACCTGAAACATAGCAGCTTGGTTGTGTAGGGAATACAAGCAGATCTCTGTAGTTGGGTTTTCAAAAACTGTTTGAGCAGTACACACTAGGGACCCAATACAAATGACCCAAAGCCAGAAGTCACACTTCCAGCACAGGCCATGGCACCTGTTGGGCAGATGTTCTCACACGGTTTCATGCAGGTGCAGCAGTAGTGCCTGGGTTTATGAGAAATGTTCCGCACGATGGCGCTGAAACTATTCATTGCTCTGGCCTTCGTGGAGAAATACAGATATTTTTTATATTGTAAAATATTGGTTTCTAAAAATGTTTATTATTTAATTTCTTTTTTAGATTACCTTCGGGTAGTGTTTGCCTTTATTTCATTTTACTACATGCCCTTTGACCCCACCAAAGCAAGCATATGTTACCTTTTGAGTGGTTTTCTGGATGCTTTTGATGGCCATCTAGCAAGAATGCTGAATCAATGTATGTATTCATGTGTTCAGCTGTTGTTCATTTTTTTTTTTTTTAATATTGAAAATCATTTTCATTTTATATTTATAATTTATCTCAGATGGAAAATTTATATATGCAGTCAGTTCTGAAATGTATTTGTTATTTATCACTTTACTTTATCAAAGAAATTATTAGTTATGTTCCCATTTAGAATGCCTTTACTTTCTACAATGAAGCTGAACTATAAAAAAATAAGATCATAAAAATTCTGTTGTATTTTTTTGTGCATTAATAATTGTTAACATGATAGTACAATTTAAAATTAATGGTTTATCATAAAATAAATGTATCAGGCACTAAACTTGGCGCCATGTTGGATCAGCTGATTGACAGAATCACAACAATGTGCTTGTGTGCTGCACTGTGCCATCTGTACCCAAAGTATATGCTCTTTTTCCAATTTGCAATGGCACTTGACATATTTAGCCACTGGATGCATGTTCAGAGGTAATTGTTTTATCAAAATTATTTAGTGTTTAAAAAATGTCAATGGTTTTGGTGAATAACAAAATTGATTCATTGGGTGTCTTACTGTATTAAAATTAAGTGCGGGTGGTTGAAGCATCTGCTGTTACCAGGTCTTCAGATAATAATTACCACAATACCTCTGTTTCTGTCACTGACCCCATTGAACTAATAATATTTTTTTCATGTTTGATGAGTGATAGGCTAAAGAATTTTTTTATTAATATAAGCTCATAAAAAGTTCAGCTGATCATAAGAACTCCATTGGGCTTATCAAAGTAATGCCATTAACCAGTTTAAACATCAGATGATCCCCAACTTGTGACATTTTAAAATCAAGTCTGTGTATTAGTCTGTCACACTGACAATCAAGTATGCATATTGCATATAGCATATTGATAAAAACTTGAAACTAATGATAGCTGTTGATATTTATTGTTTCAGCTCTGTACAGAAGGGCAGTACCAGCCATAAAAAGATTGATTTGGCTGCTAATCCTATTCTTCGCTATTATTATCACAGTCAGGTAGGCACTTACCTCTAATATCAGTCAATTTTTTTAACCATTCTTTACATTTTCATTGTTCAGGTTACATCTAAAAAATATATTATTATTGTAATTGTGAAAAGTACTGGTGTTAATGGGATTGCCTTTGACTGAGACTGTATAACAATATGTAATGTAGTTTAATCCATCATGTAAATTTGCAAGGAACTTTAAATTGTGATTTAAAATAATCTTTTAGCCAATAATATTTTTATTGCAGAATTTCTGATTTTTTTATAATCTATATCTAACGTCTTTCTTCAAGGTTGTTCTTTTTACAATGTGTGCAGCCAATGAATTGTTCTTCTGTATGTTGTACTTGAACTACTTCAGCTCAGGCCCTATTCGTAAGTTTACAATTAGAGATTTATCTCTCCTCAGGGCAGAATGGTCTGTATTTCTACTTGTTGGCATTAATGTAGCAAAGGTTTATTTAGAGCACCGGGGCGGCCCGCCAGCACCCACTTTGCGGCCCGCAAAGTAACAAAATATTCTTTATTCTTATTATTTTCATAATAGCTTTTTCCCCTGTCCCTATTTTTTTTTGGCCCGCACAAGTCTTGTCTTATATTCTTTTGGCCAGCACAAGTTTTTCATAAAGTATCGCGGCCCGCCTTACATTTTGAGTTGTTCAGGCGTGCTTTAGAGGAAAGATCGCTAGTCTTTTACCCAAACTTTGTCCTTTCTCATCCGGCTTTCGACCAGCTATGGTGGAGTTCTTGAAACACCATATTACTCCTAAAAAAAATAACTCTTTTAAATAACTCAAGAAGTAAAATTGTCCAAAGTAGATGATTCATATGTAAATAATTCATCTCTGGACAATCTGCCCCTAAAGTATAATGGGATAATTAACTTAAAATATCCATGTCAGTTTATACAAAAAACCTTTTTATAAACAATACAGATGGACAATCTTATGACTACCATATAACACTAGTAACCTGTAATAATGTAAGGTGTACGAAAAAAAAAATCTCTTAAACAACAGGAACAGTTCCAAACTTATCTTTGAGAATGTATCTAAACATTCTTATAATGATTAAATTGAGCATGAGGAATCTATGGGATGCAGATAGAACAGCATACAACATTTTCCTGATATATAACTTCCATAAACAGCTGAACTATTTGGAATTTTTTTCTTCCAACAGTTCCAGTAATTGGTGTCGGGTTATGGAAGTTTATCTGGGTCATCTGTGCTCCTCTATCCATACTTAAAATGATTATCAGCGGCATCCAGTTGGTGGCGGCTTGTGAGAACTACGCCATGATTGACCGTGAGGAGAGAGAAAAGTTGTCTACAACACAAAAGAAATTGGAGTGAACAAATATGACAAAGGGCTTAAAAAATTTTCCTTTTCTTTTAATTTAATTCTCTATGAGTTCCGCGAGAGGAATGTGACCATGCTATTCCAATAAACACAACAGAAAATTTATTAAACAGGAATTCACTTTGTGATTGTGATCTGAGCTTTAGTAATGCAGTCGCTTAAATTTGACAATCACGCTGTAATCCCCTATTCCCTCATGATTGCCAAAAAAAGTCCAGGTGCTAATTTGTGCAGTCATCAAATGAAATCACTAGAGTGGTCCACAAATGTATAATGAGTAGAATAATGTATATTATATTATGACCTTAGTCAATGCCCATTTCCATCTTTGTGTGGTCAGTTGTAATATCAGTTAATTCTTTGATTTTTAAAAAATTTTTTAAAACATTAGTTTTTTTGTTTTACCACCTGTTATAGTTAAACAGCCACATAGCAGATGAAACAAATATTGAAATTGAAAACTCTAAAATGTTGGTAAAACTGCCAAGTGTTAAACATTTTTGAGCTCATCTTGCACTGGCCAGTTGGTTGGTTTCCTTTCTCTAGCCACGGGCAGTGTTTAATCTCACTGTCGGCGGACGCATTTAATCCAAGGACATGGTGATGACTAGGCTGCAATAAGAATTTATACAATTGTTATTTTAAATATCCAATCAATAAGTTACATTTGAGGCTGGCTCCTCCTCTAAACAACACAGAACTCGGTGTAATTGGGTCTCTGGTCACCATACCTATTGATGTTCTATATACCAGTAACTTAACCTGTTGTGATTGAGTTATGATTTTAAAAATTTTTTTTTGTTGACACTGACTAAAATAGTATGAATGGTCAGACTAAACAAAAACACTGTCTAGTGCACTGAAAAAATTAATTAATGAAAACCAATGAACCAACCTATATATTATTCAATTTAATTTTTTTCAAAATTATTTCAAACAGATAGAGATCTCAGTGATTTATTATTTTTGTATTTTATTTATGTAATTGTCGTTGCTTTGTCTTATTATTCACTGGATTCAATGTGTTGTTTTTTTTTTGCTTTAAAACTTAATATCAATATTTTGTTTCATTTTTTTGGAGATAACAAATCATAACATTTATCAGGTTTTAAAAATCCAGAAGCAACTTTAAGAGATTAAAATTTCCTAGTCAGAATATGCTGTAAAGATTACAATTTATTTAAAGGATTCTCAAATAGATAATCATAATGTAATTGTTATGTATATCAGTTCTCATATTTGACTGGGAAACAGTTAATCATGGCAAAATATAACTGATGTGATGTAGTCAGAGCCGTATCAAGTTTATGGGCACTGATAGATGTAATATTTCCTAATTAATGTAGTGATATAATTATATATCTTGAGAGGGCATTCAGGATTTTCTTGTGTCATTGTTTGCATTATATATATGTGTTGATATTTTTGTACTTATTAAACAATCTAAACTTATGTTCTGCTCTTGAACAATTTTTCAGTAATCGCATACATTAACGTGAATAATTCTTGGATTCATTTTTGTATTAAATTATTAAAGTGTATCTGACATAAGACAGCATCATCAAGAGTATCATTTCTGCTTGTGGGGTTAATATATTTTTTTTTAGGTAATGAATATTAAAATTTCAATATTTTGCTCAAGTATATCACTTTCTCCATTTAAATGGTGTTTGAATGTATTAATTTCCAGTAAATTTATAACTTTAACAGCCAGTGTCGGATTAAGACCCCCCCCCCCCGAGGCCCATTATGAGCCAGCATTTTGGGACCCTCTTGAACAATTATATCAAACTTTCTTCATTTAAATGGTGTTTGAATGTATTAATTTCCAGTAAATTTATAACTTTAACAGCCAGTGTCGGATTAAGACCCCCCCCCCCCGAGGCCCATTATGAGCCAGCATTTTGGGACCCTCTTGAAAAATTATATCAAAACATCATAATAGCAGTTGTGTAGCTAGGGTTGCCTTACGCCACTGCATATCAATTACTGGTACTTAGAGATTAAATAAAACTTATGTTAAATATGATGGCAATGCCAAGAAAAAGCAGTGTCTGAAAGTTGAGAGCAAAAGTGTGGTGAGAGGAATGGGAAGGGATTTGAGCCCCTCCCCAGACATTTTTTTAATAAATTCATATTGCAGGAATGAATTTTAGCACATACCAGATTTATTTTTCATCATAAAATTATGCTCTGCATCTTATTAATTACCTTTATTTCAATGCTTTTGACACAAAATTACTTCTCCCCCAGTCAAACTTATTTTTAAAAAAGGAGACATCCACTTCCCCTTTCCTACACTAGGGATAAAGGCCTATTTACAATAATCCAGGAAAATTGTATCATTTTTGCACCTTTTTTTTACTAAATTCTTAGTGATTATATTATAATTTTTTAAAATTTCACAAAAAGATCAGCCATAGAGGAATACACACAGTGGGCCTAAATCAGCGAATAACACAAAAAAAAAAAGAAGCTAGCTTGTGGACACTTTACCCTTTGTAAGAAATACAGGCTGTGTTAATTGTTGACTTTGGATATCGGATGACATTGCTATCATCATAACATTTATATGGTGCACATTTTTATTAATATTGTGGATATGTGCAGCTTTTTAAACCTGGTTTTATCTATTGACTGTCACAACTGTTTTAAAAAAATAAATTTTCATCTTTGCTTTTTTGATGCTCATTTTCAATTAAATGTATCATTTATAATGTATAAAAAAACTAACCATATGTTACATCTTCAATATGATGACTGAAAGATGCATGTAGACATTCAAAAACAGGAAAAATCCAGTAGCTTATGTAGACAGTTTTTGGTGAAATTAATGTACCTGTATATTCAAATTAGTTCATTTCGGGTAAATTAAAGAAAATTCACTCTTTAACTCATATTATTTAATAATTTTTTTGTTCTATTTGGTATGTTCATTCCAATTTGTATTGTTAATTAGCTAAATAACAGGATTAATTTCAGATTTTATTCCTAATTCTTTCACACAAACTGAAATGGGAAACTAACCCTCAGTAACACAAGCAGTACATCTTTATTTATTGTTGATATGAAGCTCTATTTTATCATTACAAACAGTAGATACAATTGTTAACACAATTGTCATCATTATTCAGTGCATAGTTAAGTCAAAGTGTTGCTACATGTCAGAATTATTCTGTAGTTTGATGTAATCATTGATGAATTTATGTCAAATTAAAATAGTTCACTCACTTTTGTGTTTGTATTACTTTCTATATATACTTTACAAACCCTTGTTTAAAATGTAATCTCTTCAAAAATGTTTTCCCATTGGTAGCAAATTAAATTTAAATATGGGACAAAACTGTGAACATCACTCCAGAATAGTGCACCAATCATTTCAAACCTAGTCTATATATTAAAGTGTCTGTTGCAAACATGATCAAATACATATTTTTTATTTAAAAAAAAGGAATGTACAGTAGTTTTTATGGGCATCGCAGGAAATTAAAAAGTTAATTCAAAAAAAAACAATTCACCATACAGCTGATCATCCTGGTATTCAAAGCACCTTACATTGTACCCAGCCAATCTTTATTACAATTATTTATCTAGCTTATGTAATCCAAATTTTAATTGGTGTTTGAAACAGATTATTCATTTCAATCTCTTTAATATATAAATGATTATTAAAACAGTTACAAGACAGATCAGAGCAATGGTGTGGTTCTTGGTGGACATGGGATTAGAGGTTAAAGACAAAAAGAATAAATAAATAAACATTGAATCCTTGGCAAACTGTAACTGCAATTTGTACATTATTTGGCATCCGCTTTACAGTTGGTTCTAATTTCAATTCTTAACCCTACCAGACCACTACCGAATTTTCGGTAATTTCTAAATCTGCCGTTATGCTGCGGTACCTAATTTTCGGTACTTTTCCTATTATGTGACTGTGACAAAAATGTGTCGCAAACTAAAAAATAACCAAACAATCATGGTCAACCCTCATGGTAAGTCATTGCCAATGTCTGCCCCCCATGTGTTTGAATTGACTTTGTGTGGTTTGAACAAATTCTGAAAATTCACAATGAAATGAGCGGCTAATGAACCAAGCATTTCAACAAGAAAGCGAAGTAGGTCTAGGCTTATCACAGCCCAATGCCACCTATGAAAGGAACCCTGCCCTCAATGGATGACCCCAGGCAATCATTTTCCAGAGATTCCCCCGGTATATCGTCTAATCATATCTGTGTTGTGTGCATGGAAAAGCACTCCAGGTACAACAAGCAAAATCCTGGCGTGTCTTACAAAGACAATCGATGCAAGATGGTGAAGGATGACATGTGGTGTTCACTTTGCAAGAAGTACCCCTGTGTGAAACAAGGCCCATCCTGCTGGGTGGATTGCCCCACAAAGGCGCTGTATGAAAGGTAGACATATTTTCTACAATGTCTCCAAGTTCCATCTTATTCTAACCACTTGTTTTCATGTAACTAACATTTTTCTAAATCACGTTGGTTTTTTCTCTTTAATGCTCAGAAGCGCAGGTATATAGGGGACAGAAGTTGGAAAGTCCTTTAATACATGTGTTTCCCTATCAATGGCAACCTTAATTTGAACAGAGACATTCAGAAACAAATTTATTCAAAAATTGGTCATGCTCCCAGAGACTCTTATGTGTGTTGATGTTCACTTTATCTGTCCATGAAACCTGGGAAAGGTGGGTGGGGGGGGGGGGGGGGGGGGTAAAATATTTTTAAAAAATAAGTGACATGAAAACAATTTCATTCTTATATAACAATTTCATTCTTATATATTGGTTAAACCGTCTAAAAATTGGTCATGCTCCCAGAGACTCTTATGTGTGTTGATGTTCACTTTATCTGTCCATGAAACCTGGGAAAGGTGGGTGGGGGGGGGGGGGGTGGGTGTAAAATATTTTTAAAAAATAAGTGACATGAAAACAATTTCATTCTTATATAACAATTTCATTCTTATATATTGGTTAAACCGTCTCACTGAGTAACAGATTTCAGGTTGTGAATAGCCTGTCCCTGTTGCACAAGAGGACTTGCAAGTGCACAAATTGCAGAATTTATAACACATTTCTGAATGACATTTAAGTTTTGTATAAAACAGAAATTAAGATAATTACAGAAACTAGATGGATCCTTTTGATGATAGTGGTCTAATAGTCTCCAAGATGTTGGAATAGAAAATATTAGATGGTATCAACATTATTGAAGCATAGAGCAATATTTCTTTTTTCATTTTAAGGAAATTATTTGGACAAAAAAGAATAGAATAAAACCAGCACTTTTATCAATATTCATTATAAGTTTACCCAAATGTATAAATGTAGAAAAATATTAAGATCCATAATGACATCAGATGCTGATTAAAAAAACAGTTAAAAATCTTTCTACACAACATTTTTTCTGTACATGACTACAAGCATGAACATTGTCCTAATGAACCGTAACAAGCACAGAAACAGCTAACAGCACTTTCAACATGGCTGAACTTGACAGACGTAAATTTATGCAAAGAATCCCCACGTAAAAGCTGCAATAGCCATCAGGCAAAGAGCATTCACGTTGAGGACCCGTCTCCATAGTGTCTGCTCATGTATGGATGTCTGCTTTTCTTCAATAGCCCTCAGTTCTTCTGCTGACAACTGTTGCTCTGGGTTGTTCATTTTCTCTATGCCGCAGATCCACTGGCCAGCTTTTTTGTACCATGGTAAACTGTCATAGTCTGAAATTTAAAAGAAAATAGTAGACCATGATGTTAGATGTTTTTTTTAGGATTTCTTTTCATTTGATTGCCTCCTTTAATTTTTGTGTGACTCATGATAGGGGATAATTAATTCTATGTTAAATTGGCTGCTGTCATCCAGTTTCACTGATTGAAGTTATATGTTCTCCAGATTAACTTCTTCTGCCTGAACAGCTGCCTTGCTGGGCTGATGAGTCTAACAGCTGCCTTGCTGGACTGATGAGTCTAACAGCTGCCTTGCTGGACTGATAAGAATAACAGCTGCCTTGCTGGGCTGATAAGTCTAACAGCTGCCTTTCTGTGCTGATGAGTCTAACAGCTGCCTTGCTGGGCTGATGAGTCTATTTGCCTATAGCTGGGATGACTTGATATAACTGAATGAATTTAAACCTGTTGTGTGACAAGTCTACTATTGCACCACAAAGCTAACTCTTCATAAGGTTACTCTAACAATGCTCGATAAAAATTATTTACTTGTTAACAATTCTGTACAATAAAAAAAGAATGGATGTGTGAAAAAATAATTATTAACAGGTATTTAAAGTTATTTTGTGGAACCATGAAATTTTTTAAAATTTAAATAATTTTTGTGTGTCTCAATCCCAAAAAAGAAACGCATGTGCTTAACTATGGACATATTTCCCAGCTTGTCAGATCATTTTACTTTGGGTTAAATGACATCAGGAAATACTGTTGATTCACTATTTCTATTGTGGGATCATTTTTGAATTAATGAAAGGAAATAAGAAAAATACTTTTTCTGAAAAGTAAGAGACAACTTACCATCATGATGAGGTTTAGGTGTTTCCATTGGTTCTTTTGGTTTATCTCCAAGTTCTGACAGTTCAACCCTTTGCCTCGTACTGTAACGATTCCAAAATAGTAGTCTCTCCAGCTACAACAAGAAAAAAAAAATAGGGGGAAATTTTATTGATCATACCATATAGTCTATGTTTTCATCCTTTTTGTTGGTCAGCATGCCATCAAAATTTGCAAATTAATAAAGTAAGAATATTCCTGACAGAAAATTCTCATTTTACAGCTTATGTACGAACTATAAAAATTTTCAATTAAGTCTAGTTGATATTTTAAATCAAAATATATATAACTAATAACACTTTAAGTAGGGATATTTATACTATTAAACAATATTTTTCACCCGGCTAATTAAAAATGTTTCTATGAAAAGCATGAATAAAAAAATCATGCTGTTTAAATCAGGGCAGACAAATTTATATAAATAACCAGAAATTATACTAGGTTTGTGAAATAAGCTGTTTTAGTACCAAAATAAAAGACAAGACCATTCTGTGGATTATTCGGCCAGAAGCCTTCTTCTTCAAGCCTAAACATATCTAGCTCCACTATATTGTTTCTTTACACTGCTTGAACACACTCCCTCATGCATTATTGTCTTAGCAAGACTTGACTAAAAACAATTCAGTAATACTGACTCCAACTTTAAAACTCTCAATCCTTACACACAAAATAACTGTTGGCTGCCAGGTGAAAATTAAGTATCCTTTTCTTAAAATATTGGTAGGGTGTTAATCTATAAAATGAAACTTTAAGACTCTACTTTCATTTCTTCTAGTTAGGGTCAAGTTAAATAGCTCCTATTTAACTTTTAACCATATCATTATCAAGAGTATAATGCCCACAAGGGGAAACAAATCTGCATTTGGTAGTTGTCCTCAAATTTAGTTGTATCATGGATAGTTTGACTTTCTGTGTATTGATCAAGTTCAATTCATTTTTACAAAATTCTATTTCATATTTTTTTCCTAAATTTTGTATATCTAATTTTTAACAGTTCTTAAAATGATATAATAAAATATAAATACGATGTATAAATATTATAACAGAGCCTGTTTTTCCCTCATTTAGTTTTGGTAATAAAGGGACGAGACTGCTATCAGGTTAGGTAGAAGGAAAAAAATTTCTGCTTCATCCTTTTTTTCAAGTTCTCCCATACTTTGTATCGCTTATTTCTTCATTTAGCCTAGAGGGATCTTTTCTAGCCTTAAAATGAGGCAAGACATTGGTTTATAGACAGTTTAAATTCCAGAGTTCAACATTTTTTCAAACTATACACTGCAGCCCTTAAGCCTCAATTAGGCCTGTTAATTTCCAGCAGTTACCATTGTTTATAGCTTACATGAACATCTGCAATAGGTTCTGTAAGCAGGCTTATCACCACTGTCACTAGTGTTACGATGCTGAAGAGGATGATACCAAAGTGTAAATAATGGACTTTACTGATGATATCTGGCTTCTCTGACTTGTACTCCTCACCACAAGGGTAGTTTTTGTAGGCATACTCCCAAGCAAAACGGATGAGCCCAACAACCAGACCAACCATTAAACCCCAGAAAGCTCCCTGGAAAAAAAAATAAAGAGAATAATATATGAAATTAAAATAATGAAGGAATAAGAAATCTATGATATATTTTTTTTAAACCTTGAAAAATTCATCAGTGACCCCTATGCTATTTTCTGTCAATCACATCTTTTAAAAAAAGTTAACCTTTTCATTGGTTCTTTTCCAGAAGATAGCTAAGACATAAACTGAACAAATGGGGGGCGCCAAGAAACTGGTAATAGCCTGGATGTAGTGGAAGAGCTCTGTGACACTCTGTACAACTGGGATCCAGACTATGCCGACTCCAACAAGTATCAACACACACAACCTGAATATTAACAGAAATATTAGGCATAAGCAATAGAGTTATTATATTATATATCATGTAATAAAGTAGTTCCCAACCGGTGCTTCACTGAGTCTTAAGGGCTCTGTGACCACTCCAGGAAACTCCTTAATGTTATTAAATTGTAAGACATAGCGTAGGGCTAAGGGATTCCCCCATAAGAAATTGAAACATAAAAAGGGCTGCGTGAGACAAAAAAGTTGTGAACCACTGAGGTACTACCTATGGGCATCCAAAATTAAATTCTATTGCCTTGAAATGACTGCACTTAAACCTTATTTTGACAAAGAGACATCAAGAGTTCATGTTGTAATTATGTACTACTGTACTAGATGGTGATTTTCAGTTGCTGACGAAGTTTACCTCCCAACGATCATAAGTTCTACATCGCTAGAGTTTTTCCGAATCCTCCTCCAGATGTCCATGGTAAAGATGGTGCTGCTGCTGTTGAAAATAGACGTGAGAGAGGAGATGAGAGCTGACATCATGACAGCCAGCATGAGACCGCGGAGACCATCTGGCATCAAGTCCAGCACCAGAGTCGGGAAGGCAATGTTACTACAGCTGTCCTGGCCACAGACTTTCTGGCAAACTTCTGGGTCAGCACAACCGACACGGTCTAGGGGAGGAAACTAGATACATTAATACAAATAATAAATGAGGCTCAACCTACACACTCTAGGGGAGACAACTAGAGATATTAATACCAGTGCTAATAACACATGCAGTATAACCAACTGTCTCCTTGTGAAAACTAATCAATATATTATACTATACCAATGAAGCTATTAACCAACAAAACTTAAGGGAGACAACTAAATAATATATTAACACATTGGTTTAGGGGAGACAACTACGGGGACACTGCCAAATAAATGAGCGCAATATGCAGCGTAACAAAACGAGTCACAGGGGGACACTTAGGCCTACATATACATTAACACATGCAGCAGTAAAAACAATCAAGTATTGCTTTAGACTAAGTTATTCTAAACAGCCCCGATGCTAACAAAACAAACAATCTCACCTGTATAAAGAACTCTAGCAATCATACCAGGGAAGACTATGAGCCACATCGGCAAAAACTTGAGATAACCAGCCAGTAGGCATCCAGCTTTAGCGTGGGAAAGATTTTTGGCAGCCAAGGCTCTCTGAACAATTACCTGAAATTAAATGGGATGTAAAATCGTTAATTTATTGTTCTGCCCCTGAGATATTAGATTTACATTTTCATTTACCTTTCTCGTGTTTACATATTTTGTTAATCCAAAAATCACAGATACATTGCTTGTATGAATTTGCAACGTTATGCCATTTAAATGAACCAGAATGTGTTGGGACACCAGACAAAAAAAATAAAAAAATATACAAAATAAAAAAAAAGAAAGATACTTTGTGAGTAAATTTGAATCAGTCATGATAAAAATATAAATGGGGATAGTAATCCAGGCTCAGTAACAGTTAACATGGTTTATGCTTACATAAGTTAAATAGATAATATAATTATAATGGTCTAGTAATAATCATCACATTATCAATTTTAGTAATGACAATGTTATTAAAAAGAAGACGATGACTATAGTAGATGTTAACTACACAGACACACAAGAGAGAAAATAGTGTAAGACTATTACAGTTGTTAGCTTGCCTGATCAGAACACCAGTACCACACTGAAGAAATGGTCAAACCGATGAAAACACCAGGCCAGGGGAGGCCACCATCATCAGCAGAACGCACAAAGTTATAAGAGTTACTAGCAGGTATACCACAACTGGTGTAAGAGTAGTTGTCGTCCTTGCCCAGATGTTGCAATGTAGTGTTGGGGTAGGAGGAAAAGTAGCGATGTTTGAGCTCCTCGTAACCTCCGACCCTAATAAATCCTGACAACAAGAGCGTGATAAGTAATCAATAAATTAAAAATCCGAGCCAACAAAAACACAAATAACAAAATTTAGGCCTATTAAAAACGAAAAAAAAAAAAATAATAAAAATTTAAACATCGTAGTAGAACTAACAAAAGAAAATCTCAACTTGACCTACCCATGACCATAAGAACAAAGGCTCCAGCCACCATGATTATTGTTTGGATAAAATCTGTCCAGATGACAGCCGTCAGCCCACCTGTGAATGGATTTGTTGCAAGCAAATTTGAAATGAATAAAAATACACGAGAAAATGGTGTCTTTAAGAGGCTATTGACTTAAATGATGATCAAATGT